GCGTGAGGGGAACGCGGCCGCAGAAACGCCCTTACAGCTTCACACCCCTCAAGCTGCATGTAAGCCCTTGCCCCCATATGCAAACAAGCGTATTCATTATTGGCAACACTTAATGTGTACCTTGATACTGAACATTGAAGCAAACGGGGGTCAGTAGTGGACAGAAACACATCATGGGTCCCTGACTCTGGTACTCCCCAATGACTGCTCCCCACCTTCTCTCACCTCAAAATAACTTAGAATATCAGGCTGCAGCCATAGAAGAGGAACAAGGTGTCAAGGGGGGGAGCTCCTTCGTTATAAAAACCACCAGACAAGAAATGTGCATCAGTATCTTCCTACACAGCCCAGCAAATACCCTGGGTGCATTCAGTCATAAAGGCTGGGGCAATTTCACTATATTAAACAACTGGAATTTCTGTTATGGTTGGCTTTTGGATGTGCAACCATTGTCCATCCTCCAGTAGGGATTTCAGGGAGCATGCTAATGTAGTATACTGACGTCCTATTGTCACCGTCAGGAAATACATCACCGTCACAACCAAGCAACAAATATGGTCACAAAGGAGGGGAGGATACTCCTCCAGTCCTGCTGGCGTGTATAAAGGCACTGCAGAAGTGGTTCATGGGTGTGATGTTTCAGTATAACATCACAGCAGCAGTACTAACATGAGAATACAAAGAATGGTAAGACTGAGAACTTTCTTCGTCAGTCACATCCCTCTTTTGGCAGTGATTACACATATGCAGAAAGGACAGATTTCCCAACTCTGAGATGCAGAGCCTGCACCACATAGTAGAAGTCATCTGGCATCATACACTGCTCCTAAGAACATACACATAAATATATATAAACAAAAGCATCAAAATCATACACCATCAAAACTACAATAAGATTTTTTAATTATCTTAGGAAACCAATCAAAATATTTTGTCTTCATGGTTTTCCTTTAGCTAATGTGTTTTTATATTCTTTATTCAATTCTCAAGATATATTTCAGATTGCTGAAGCAATACTTAAAGTATTATCACAATCATTCACATTTGGAATGAGAAAGCAATCGGAGCTTGTCTCCAAGTTCCTTTACAGATCTTTTTCAGTTATTTAAACTACCTCCCAGTCAACAGTACCTTGCCATCCACCTTCATTTTGAGAAGTTCCTTAAAAAGCATCTTCAAAAGCAAGAGCATTTTCAGTTAAAACATGTAAACAGGTGCCATTAGGAGAAAGAAAACAAAACAAAACGCAAAACTACGTATCAAAGAAACAATACAGTCAAAGGGGATTATCTTTTTAAACAGCATGACTTTGGGGGGGCCCATTTCTGACAGATTTGGAGAGTTCTCAAATTCTCTCAAATTTTGCAAGCTGACATCACGTAGCACTATGCAAGACAGTCATTTACTGACAGAATTAAAACTATACCTGCTCCTGTGCAATTCATGACCTTGAAGAGAAGGTGAACAGAGACCAACCTCAACAAGATCAGCTTGTTGTCATGGAGGAAAGCAGCAGAGGAGCTGTTTAATACAAGGATACAGAGAAGAGCCACACTTCTGATGTCTAGGTTACACATACAGAACTTGTTTAATGAGGTCTGGGTAAGTTACAGGAAATCCATTAAAGGTTCAGTAAGCACTTTTGCAGCAGTCTGATCAGAACAGAGTACTCGTCACACAGGACATCTGGCTACTCCTACTTCACTTGCACGTTAAAGCTTCCTTGCGGAGAATTCTTAAAAGATATATTCCACACCGTGCCCAGATCCATTCAGGTACGTGCTCACACAGTGTGAACTGTGGAGAGGCACAGGGAGGCAAGAAAAGAAAGACAACATGAAGGGATGGATTAAGATATATTCCATTAAAATAAACAGTTTCTCAAATTACCACTAAAGCAAGGCAAAACCTGTTTGAACATCAGCAGCTAAGCCTTCCATTCAGCCCCCTGGAAGAAAATACATTGAGACTTTTTGGAAGTAGTGCCTACAGCTAAGCAGTTAAATTCTGTAAGTAAATCCTGAAGTGGTTTGTTCAGGCTCACAACAGCAACAATCTCCATTTTCTTTAATTGCCACATCTTGCCAGAATCCTTCCCATCTCTTTTATTCCTTTTGGACCATTCCCCACTTCAATTCCTTTTACTAGACCTAGTGCTACAGAAAGCCACAAGGTAGGACACATGAGATGTGAGCAATGTTCATAAAATTACTTCGGAGCCCAGAGTCTGGCCCCAAAAATAAAAACCTAATTTATGGAGCACCTGCTTCCAGGTAGTTTAAGATAAAAATGTAATCTTTCTATTTCTCTGTTATTTTTCTATCCTCTCTGCCTGCTTTTTCCCAGAGCAGAATAAATTAAGATTGAAAAAAGCTACTTCTGTTCATAGAAGACAGTGAAATGCTTGCCCAGTCAGCAACACCCTAAGTGAAATGAGATAACCCATGTTTTTGAATAAAATGCTGTCTCTTCCCCACTTCTGCTGCACATTTCAAGTGGGAACTGGATTCACGTTCTCTTTCTAAAAGTAAGCATGCCTGAGCATTATTTTCTAAAGCAGAATTAGTGAGAAAATATTGCTTAATACCTTCAAGTCCTACAATACCTATTGCACTCTTTCAGACTATGAGCATAGTTTTCATTCAGATTCCCATGAAAGTAAACAGCTTATTTACTTCTAATGACAAACAAGAAATAGTTTAATGAATTCTATTACCTTTATTGCATGCTTCCAGTAACCAGAAGTCCTTGTGGATAACCCAAGAGTAGAAATAGCATGACTTGCATATTCTTCAGCAGAAGGGAAGAAGAAAGATCTCTTCGACAAAATGCTGCTGCACGCTACCATTTTTGTAGCAATGAAGAATGGGGTTAAACTCTGAACAAAAATTCCTTTTGAGGCATATTCATGATGTAGTGCTCTACTGAAATAGTCCAAGTAGGTCTAGAAAGAGAAAAGCAGACATCTTTTTTTCTTTCTTTTTTTTTTTTTAAAAAAAACAATCAAGTCTTAGGGCAGAGGTTTAGTAAAATTACAGAACAGTTGAAGCATAGTGTACACATCAGAAAAAAACACCTGAATAAATAGTATAATTACTCAATATAATGTACTGAATATATATAGATCATTCAATATAATGTATGAAATAGCATTTCAGACTCAGCTTGTGAGTGAACAGCTGCTCCCAAATGGCCCTGCAAAAGCTCCATTCCCAGCCAGGTGTTGGGAAAGCATCTCTTATAAATGCTCTTACACCTGCTTTAGGAAAACAAAGCAGGTCCACCCACTGCAAACACCACACGCTGTTAGTCTGCAAAGGGGCATGGGATGCAGGAGCAGCTTGTTCCCACTTCTGTGCCAGTGGAACTGTGCAGAGGCCAAGCTTTAAACGGGACTGCTCATCTAGGGTTTGGATTAATGATGGCAGCTAAAGGAAGAAACTTGGTTTTCTTCTATTATTTTTTATTCAGGCCTTTCAATTGTTTCAGTCCCAAGTGCAGTACTACATACACTTAGTGTGTAGCCAAAGGGGCAGATAATCTGCAACAGAAACAAGGATCTTAAGCCAGTTTCCACACTGAAGAAAACCTGCACAGAATTTTATACCTTGGGGTACTAAGAGCTGATTTTGCTGCAGGTAGAAGAGCTATCCCTGGAGCAAGGCTGCACAGGGGTTAGGCTACAGCAGAGGGCAGCCACCAACAGCTGGGGGCAATATCCACTTGTGTTTAGATACCAGATCTAGGCAAGGTCCTTCTACAATCCCAGTTGTTTTTGTGGATACAGCAGGCACCCAGTGTAAATCTGCATCTCCACATGTTTTCATATCTCCAGCATCACCCAGCTGCCCCATCCTATTCATTATTGACTGGATCTCCTCAGCAAGAGTAACTGGGGGGCGGCAGGGGGCAGTTCTTTACACTTCTTCTCAAACATAGTACAGACAATGGTGTTAAGAAGCCTTCTGCCCCTTGGCTTGGTTTGGCCATAGCCCCTGTCACTGTGGTGGCTTGAGCATGAGTATGGCCACTCTTGCTACCAAATAATGGCACGTAAGCAGCTTGAGGTACATCCACCCAGTTGAGCTGAACAAGAGGGAGATGGAATGTTTGACTCTTTCAACAGGTCACAGAACCACCACTTGGGTTCATGCAACCTTCCTTTGAGGAAGGTAACATTTTTCCTGGAAGTACTGTTAGGCTACAGTTAAAACAAAATCCAAAAAGCCCAGTACTGGTGAGGTTAAAGAGCTCACTGTGTATTACATGTAACTTTCACCTCCGGCACTTGAAGAAATCCCTAGAAAACTTTAAAGTGTATTTTGATATCCTAGCTGAATGTGTTCACAACCAACCAACCAACCTACAACACATCTACTTTACAGCACATACCACTAAATATTACACCCCAACTTACTTTAGAGGCTCCATAGGCAGTCATCATTGGTGTCGGACGACAAATGGATGCAGAAGAAATGTTCACAATTGCCCCTTTCCTCCTCTTTACCATGCCCGGCAGCACAATATGCATCATCATGTTAGCAGAAGCAATATTTACATTGATTATGTCCCACAGAAGGTCCTCAGACAGGTTGGTAAAATAGTCCGGGTAGGGATAAAATACTCCTACATTATTCACCAAAATGCCAATGTCTCTGTCTTTCAGAGCCTCCTTAATGGCTGGGTAAGGCTCACGCCCCTTGCTGAAGTCAGCTACAATGAAATCTGTTTCCACTTGGTAGGTTTCAGAGATGATTCTAGATACAGCCTCCAGCTTCTCCTTGTTTCGGCTGATTAAGATGATGTTGACACCACGCTTTGCCAGTTCTTCAGCATATGCCTTCCCAATGCCATCTGTGCTACCTGTAATAGAAAATAAACAGCCAAGGTGAAAACCAGAGCAGCTCCATCCTCTCTAACGCCTGTTCTTTCAATTACAGCTTTATCCCATTCTCTGAAGATCATGTGGCACTTAACATGGTGGTCTCAAAACCACAACAATAATGTTTAGTGTTTATTGCCAAAAAACCCCAGTGACTCCAGTTGGGCGAGTCATCCCACCAGTTTCTGTGACTGTCAGTCGCAACCTCCTGCAATCCCACCTCATACAAGTTGTATGTTTTCTATGACAACAACAGAGAGTTTAGAGTAGAGCCAGTATACAGCAGAAAATGAAATTTTCCACTTAGCAAAACCACTGAGGCCTAAAGGAGTTACAAAGACGTTGTGAAATGGGATCTGGCTGTCAGAAGAAGGAGCTAAGAGATAATGAACTATTTGCTTTATCAGCCAGCTGTTAAGAACTGGCTACTGTGCCCTTGAAGAGGAGCCACAGGACTGATGAAAAGGGAACATCCTCCTCAAAAGGTGCAAGTGAGAGCTGGGTGATTGCCAAAGAAACACGGAGTCTGCAAAAATTTGTGGTAGCTGGGGGAAGGGTACAGGCAATAAGGGGAAATCACAACCACCCACCAAACTCAAGACCAAAAAGACTTGCTCTCCCCCCTCCCCATAAGGAGCACGTGTGCTAATTTACATAGCAAGCAAGGCTAATTTAAATATAACTAACCAGTAGCAGACAGGATGGTAATTACTAACCAATGAGTGTAAATTTTGTCAGGATTTTACTAATCCTAATAGGATAAATGTTGTGGCTCCTTTGTACTGGGTGCTAGCTCTGTGCCTTCCTTCCCAGCACCCCTTTCTGCACAGAACTGAAACAAACTCCCCCTACTCTGCATGTATTTTGGCTTATTGCACACAGGGTAAGCAAGCCCACTTTTGGGGTAATGAAGGGTGACAATGTCAGATGTACATGACTTAAACCTTGTTGAAGACCTTAAGCACATGCAAAAAGCCCACAGCACAAAAAGATCATGTCTGCATCTCTGTCCAGGCTTCTATGTGTTTGGGGTCTACCTTGCAATTTTGGGGAAAAATTGCTCTGTGAGGGTTTCCCAGCAGTCAGTCAACACACCGAGCTCTCTCTAGAATTGAATTTAGGAAGCCACCAAAATGTCACTGCTGAGGCAGATTACCTTGCAGCCTAGCTGACACAGGCCTGTGACATAAAGCTCACCCGGCAATCTAAGTTATCAATTTTTACACAGTATAATAGCACAGTATCTCACATAAAGACAGACAAATACACTGCTTCAGCCTCTTACCAGTGACCACGGCCCATTTTCCATACCGCCTGACAAGATCAATCTCGCCACTCAGCTTTGGAATGACATACAACCTGAGCATGCCGTAAGTGTCAATCGCAAGGGAGATGCACTTTCGGGCTGTGTACCATGCTCCAACTATAGCCAGGGCCTCTATGTAAAAGCTGCAGGAACGACTGATTTCTTGGTACAAGAGGTAGAAACGATCCACCGCAGCCATGGTGATCACAAGCCTGGAGGAAAAGAAGAGACATAGGCAATTACAGTTGCCTCTTGGGCCACATAAACTTTTCAGACAGGCTGGATCACTTTTGAGACTGAGCACTTTACAGTCTGAGCACCATTTTGATTTGGAAAAGCCACAAGTCAGCCTGCTAAAATTTGGGTATCACCTCCCATCATCCTCACTGGTTTAACTGCTGTTTAACCCTTGTTCAAGGTTTTAGTTACTAATCAGTTACAAAGCAATAATAACACTGATCAATGATGCTGTAAATAAAACAATCCCATCCAAGCAGACAAGGGAAGCTCAACATGTCAAAAACAATTTTGAAAGATTAAGACTAACCTGCAAAAGAGGGCAGGGTAACCAAGAGGGGAGTGCAGAGCACACAAGAAACACTCGTCCAAGCACAGAAAGCTACAAGGGGACAAAGTGAGCTCCAAGACAGGAGCATAACGTCAGGAAGCACGAGCCCTGCCCACCAAACACACCCGATCTGCCGCGTCCCTCGGGTATGAAACCCTTCGAACCACGGCGCAGCTCCGTGGCTGGACACCTGTCTGTGCCTCGCGTGGTTTCACTTGCGAATATTTATTTAAAACAAGCACAAAACCCAACC